TACTCCAAGAGGCTCAGGATAATTTCATGGAGCTGATCGTGCTCCATCTCCCCACTCAAGAAATCGAATGAGACGGCCCAACTTCGAAGAAGATGAGTATGGATTGAGGGGAGTAGGTTCCGTACTACACTGATTGAAGGTTTTCCCAAAGTATCGCTCGTGGCCATCGGCCCGCTCAGAATCTGTATGATCGACGGGAATGGTCGATGATCCGACCCGTCGCACCGAGCCGAGTGAATTCTCAACATAATTCATCATCATGCACGATGCCGATTTTCTCTAAAATGTGGCGTTTCCCTCATTAAACACTCTAACACTCGAAAAAACGTTCCAGAAACACATCACACCCTTCCAACACATGACTCTAATAGCTTCCGGTCCTCGTTGCTCGTGTGTGGGGTTACTCTGAGCAGATCATCTACAGCAGCTCCCGATGCACCATAGGCTCTCACCCGTTAACGCTCCAATCCCTTACTGCTTCAACGAGCTGGATGTTCTCAACCTCGAGATGTTTAAATCCTCTGAAGATCTCCGCGACCTATTTTCAGTACATACACCAGAGTTTTAGCTCATCAGTTCCCTCACATCCTCGGCAGTGAACATCGTCGGTATCTTCTTCCCTTCATGATCCGTCCCTGAGTCCCCACCCAAAACATGAGATACCCGTTGGGCCACCGCCGACAGTAGATCAGTGTCGCGATAGTTGACCAAAACGAATGTATCAACGACGAGACGAAGATCAAATATAGTATCCAAAGTATTAACCTGATCAAGTCCTATCAACTCTAGGAATGAGCAGAGAATAGCTCACGTTAGCTCGAGCTTTCTGTGCTATCCTGTGACAGAGGGGTCGATCGGCAGCACCGTGGTTCGCCATCGACTTTATAAATCTCAAAGATTCGATCAGGCTCGTCTCACTCAATAACCTGAGTTGATTGTTCTATTACCAGTATGATTCGACAGTAAAAAAGGGAAGGGGAAAATCCTAGGGGATGGTCGCCGAGGATCACACCGACCCCTCGAGTTGTGGGGAAGCACTTCGGCCGATAGAAGGGGCACTGCTTCACTACAATCTATACAGGTATTAGCATAACGCGAGTTCAACGCTGCATCAAGGTGAAGTATGATGATTTGGGTCACGACGCCTCCGAGCAATCGATCTACAATTACCTGTGGGCATGTGTTGCCATATGGCCAAATAGAGTCTCTTGGACAGGAACCGAGGTACGATGAGGGACAAGTCTTCGAGAGAGTACGTCTGCCATAACCACCAGAGACAGTCCACACTCGTAATGCGGTAACTGTTCTGGTAGCGCCTGGGCCATCCTTTCGAATACCGATGACACTGAATTCGAGAAATCTGTTCCAACCTTCTGTTCGCCTACTATTACAAAGTTCGATAATCTTCTGTTGCTTATAGCCAACAACTTCTTTCCCTTCCTTTGGTCGGAAATAAGCCGGATTCTCCATCCGGAACCAATACTCGTCTAGCGCTCGGGCTACAATGCACGCCGTACGCTCGTCCAGAAGGGGTGCTGATGCAGCGACTCGTCGGGAGAATACCTCCCAGAAGGCTGGAGGTCGAGCAGCTGCTGGATGAATGAGGCAATCGGTGGCGGTGTGCCTGAACCAATTTACAAATGTGCGCAGTCGTTTGCATGTCCTCGATAGGGGTAAATAATAAGTGAGAATCAATAAAATCGTACGGCAATTAATTTAATGAGTATCGGCCAATTTCGGACAGTACCTGCCGTACCATAATTTATACATCCAAATCATATGCCTATGCAATAGGAGCCTTCCTACGGGTACCCTCAATGGAGGGGCCGCTATGCCAGAGGACTATACCATTCAGAAATCCATTTGTTAAATAGAGGGGCCGCTATGCCAGAAGATCATACCATGCATGAGTCTATTTGTTGAATAGGGGACCGCTACGCCTGCTACGAAGTTAGCCATTCAGAAATCTGTTTGTTGAGTGAAGGGGCGACTATGCCAGAGGACTACACCATTTATAAATCTTTTTGTTGAATAGAGGGGCCGCTATGCCAGAGGATCATACCATACATGAGTCTTTTTGTTGAATAGGGGGCCGTTATGACAGAGGACTAAACTATTCAGGGATCGATTCTATGCCAGAGTACTATACCGTTCGGAAATCTATCTGTTAAACGAAGGGCTCGTTATGCCCGCTATGAACTATACCATTCAGAAGTCTATTTGTTGAATAGAGGGGCCGCTATGCCAGAGGATTAAGATCTTACATACGCTGGTATGGACATTACCGATTCAGTTTATATAGGAGGGACCTATCCCCGAGCAATTCAGCGGTTTAACGATGGGCTTCGAAGGAGGATTTTAATTATGTAAATAACGACAATTATTCCACGTTGGAGAAAAGGATCTCGCCCGAAACAGCATCAATTCCGAGGAACAATGATCACTGGCCTGACCTCATTTGCCCCAGGGTGTACCTCAACAATGTTTTATCGGCCAATGAGAGAACCTCTCTGCCGTACATCCGATGGTGCTCTGGCTTCCGAGCCTTACTAACCTTCCATGGCCTGTTCCATCTCCAAGGGGAATCTTGGGACAGCAGCTTTCTGGATAGTTTCAGAGTGCCACGAAATGACGATGCCATCGAGAGAAAAAACTACCATATCAACGGTTCGATCATTCACGACGACAATTGGTCCCTGAGAAGAGTTACATGATTCCTTTGCCCGTTTGGTATCGATCGAGTACCACAACTTTTCAACTCTTCCATGAATGCTATCTACGCTCGTGAAATCCGCGTCAATCCAACACGTGCAACAAAGAATCACTAGTCCCTATTGCGATAAAACACAATAATTCCATTGTCTACTGAACTTCCATGATTAGAACTGTCATTGTTTTACTATAACA